CTCACCCCAAACCCATTTATTTCGTATCGTGTCATGGTTTGTGTTGTGGTTCATGTCGTGAATTGGCAGTCCTAGGTGTGTTCTAGCACTAGTTACGTGGCTTTGAGCTATGATTTTTCTAACTTCGTGAGACAACTGTGTCTTCTCACTATATTGTTTAGGATGTTATCTGTCTTTGTGGCTCTTGCATTGTATGTTGGGTTAGGGCCTTCTAAATGTATGTTGTGTTGGGCCTATTTGTATGTCGGTTTCGACTCGTTTGTATGCTGGGAATGGTTCGTTTGTATGTTGGGTGGGGCCCAAGCCGTGGGCGGTTCCCGATCTCAAGAGCAAGGCCCAATATATAGGTGGGGCCCAATGTTATGTATGATATGTGGTATTTTGGGGAGCTCGCCAAGCTTTATGTTTATAGATTTGCAGTTTAAATCTTTTCAGGTACATCTAGTTCCAAAAGGATGGGCTCGACTTGACTACAAAACATCCCCTAATGGTTTTTTGCACCGATTATTATCATTTCAATCTGATGTTCGTGATATATTTTTTTCATGAGTGATTTTGGTAACATTTGATGGCTCGAAAATGAAATTTTTATTCATATTTTTGGGATGTTATAGTTGTGTTTGTTGGATTAAGGTGTCTAAGCTCATAACTAAATTGGTATAAACTTGTATTTAGAATCAATGTCCTTTTTAGGTTTCCCTAATAACTAGAAAATAAATAGAATTACATTTGTCGAGAGAGGAAATAATTTTTTTAGTTTACTATATGATTCAAAAATAAATTAGAAATAGATTAAATTAATTAGTAACTGATGAGAATTTGTTTGAAATTAGCTTGGGATCAACTAGAAATAATTAGAAGTGTAAGTGTTTCATGGTAATTGCTTGTTAGTTGAGAAAATTAGAAGTTCTAAAAATCTCTTGGTCTAGATAGTTTTGGATGCCTTGGAGGGCAATCAAGAATGCCCCATTTATTAAAAGGAAATTAGATAATTACTAGGATGTAAAATAATATCATTTTATCTTCAAATATAAGGTTTCTAAGGTTTCTTGGTAGCTATATAAAGGGGAATAGGACTTGCATTTTTCAGCAACTTCTTTTTAAGACACCCTAGCCTAACATTTTCCTCCCTCTCCTCTCTCTTCTCTTGTGTTATAGTTTCTAGCTTTGGGTGTGAGCCATTAGATGCATTAACCTTTTGGTGCTAGCTTTCAGAAGATCTACAAAGGAAGGAATCAAAGGAATTGTTTTCAATAACAAATCAAAAGTTATGTAACCCTAATCTAGCATTTTTTTTATTATACTAGGGATTATGTATGGTTTCTGCGACAACTAGAAAAATTCTCAAACAAATAGTTCTAAACTATAACCGTGTACAAGTGAATTCTTATCATAACGTTGAGACAACAAGAGCTTTGAATGTCAAGAATACATGTTTATATATGTTCATAGGTTATTGATTCATCATACTTTGAAAACCATACTTATATAAGTTATATATACTTATATATTGAAAACCACCCTAAAAATATGAATAAAAAAATTCATTTGGAATCATACTTATATAAGTTACATATACTTATATAAGTTACATATACTTATATAAGTTATATATACTTATATATACATAAATCAAGGAAGTAAGTTAAAAAGCATGAAATTCACCTTATCATATTGATTTCGGTATTTGGAATCTAGGAACACTTGTGTTTTGGGTTTTAGGTATAAAGGAAACAAGTAGTTTTCGGCTTTTGGAATCTTCTAGCAAGTAGGGTTTTCGGTTTTGGTTTCTCCACTAGGATTGAAATCTATCAAATGTGGGTCATCTAAGGTGATTTCGGTCAGCCTAGGACCGAAATCAACCTTCTTTTAGCCGGAATCCCTCTATAATATCTAGATATTTAACCTTTATTAAGTTCCCAAAGTGATATGGTTCACTTACCAACGTAAGTGTGACTTTTCTTACACTCTTATCCTTTAATTTCCCATATATAATACACACATATGAACCAATTCTCATTTATAGTTAGAAAAGTATCAAACATTCACAATTCTCTCTCAAATATCAACCTTTCATTTCCTCTCAAAACTCAAAGATTAAACACCTCTTGGATCTTTATTCTTTAAGCTTATTCCTTAGTATTTTGGTAAGTATTCTTAATAACATAATATTCTACATTCTTTTTATGATTAGTTCATTTTATTTACACATTAGTATGTGTTAAAACTCATAAGATACAATCAAATTCAAGTGTTCTAACTTAAAGATCATTACCATCACCTCGTTATTAAACCACAACAAAACATAAGGTGAGCTCATACCCCCTACATTTTTACAAGGTTTTTCTATGTTTTTAAGGGGGTGGGGTGGGGGGGGGGGGGGGGGCGAATACAAGTAACACACTAGAAAATTTACTTTGAAAATGCAAAAATTTCAAATACGTTTAATTACTATTTTTGTGAAAAGCGATAAGTACATGAAACGACTTTATTATCAAACCATATATTATTACAGGAAAATTTTTGGTAAAAATGTAACAATGTGAAAAACAAATACAAAATACTTATTTCTTAATATATATATATATATATATATATATATACACACATACACACACACATACACACACACACACATATATATATATATATATATATATATATATATATATTGAGTAGGAGATGGCTTCAACGATAAGCTATATATTCATAAGGCTTACAAAACTTTACCCTTTTGTAACCCGTTGAGCAAAGGGTATAATTAAATATTTTCTTATATAATTATATTATGTTGTTTTCATTATTATTCCAACCAAGGGAATAATTATATATACAAATGTTTTCAGTACAAAAGCACATAAACTCGTTGAACAACTTTGTGAGACATAGTCTCCACGGCACACTACAAAGTACAAACGAAAGTCTTGTTTTATAACCAGAGTCTCCTGGAGGGAAAGCATGATACTTGTGTATAGATCTATACAGGACTGACAATCCCACACCTAAACTGTTAGCTACAGTTAGACAGACGGCTCTGGCGGTGACAAATGTCAAAACATTCGGACGCTTGAAGAACGTCGTGACACGCCAACATCGGCCATCAGTACGGTTATAAAAACTCACATAAAGTAACGATGAATCTTTTACTTTACGCAAAAACATTCTTTAAATGTTTTATATACATGATTAGAACTATGTATCACTATTTTAAGTATGAAAAATACTTATACGTTACTGTCTTGGTAACACTACAATACATTTTATGGAAAATAAAGTATTTTCTGGTAAGACGAACACTATTACTTTACAAAGAGAGGCTTGCATATTAATAATAGAAAAGCTTAAGAACTCACCAACTTAATTGTTGATACTGTTTTCAAACAACTTGTATTCTCAGGAAATCAGTAAAGCAGGTAACCACTATCTTTTGAAGATGAGAAGCTAAGGCGTCTAAACAAATCTTTTGACAACATATTATAATTGTCTTTTGAAACATATAACACATACAAATCATGTAACAATTTCTATTATATATTTCTTGGTTTTGTTGCTTTGATCATTTATACTCAACTATTATGATAGTGTACATGATAGTCACCCACCCCCGAACGTTTCCTCCATCCTGGTTGGGGTGTGATAGTTTCTAATTCATATTATGTTTCATAATGTGAAGAGATGGATAAATGGTAGACCAATACATATGTATAACAACTTCCATAGTATATGTTTGAGAAAAGTCACTGCAATAAATGGTAGACCTCATTGAAAAAGATATGCTATGAGAGGGGTTTAAGGAAACAACCTATAAAATGATCATTGAATGGGTGTCCTTTTCACCCAACATTAACTTTGACCATGATTGTTGACTTGTTGACATGGGTTGACTTTTGGTAAAAATTGATAGTTCTAGATTATAGACTAAGGTTGGACCTTGTGTGATTTTTTAGGTTTGTTGTAGAACTTGTTGCGTGCCATTGAGCTATGATTTATCTGACTTCGTTAGACATGTGAGTCTTCTCAATATAATGTGTAGGATGCTATATGTGTTTGTGACTCTTTAATTGTATATTGGGTTGAGCTAATTTGTGTGTTGGGTTGGGCCAAGGCCTGATCTGTAGGGCGGGGCTCGGTATGTAGGTGGGGCCAAATGTTATGTGCGGTATGTGGTATTCTAGGGAACTCACTAAGCTTCGTGGTTGCATTTTTTTGGTTAAAAAGGAAAAAGTCTGGCTTGACTACACCACATCCTCTGATGGTTTCCCCAGCTGATTATTATCAATTCGCTATGATGTTTGAGATAATTTTTATTATGATTGATTTTAGGAACATTTGATGTATGGATTTCATGGTTTGAAAATGAATTTTTTTTATTAGTATTTTTGGAATGTTATAGTTGATTCTGTTGGATTAAGGTGTCTAAGCTCATAACTAAATTTTTATAAACTTGTAATTAGAAGCAAAGTCTATTTTGGTTTCCCTCATAACTAGAAACTAAGTAGAATGACATTTTTAGAGAGAGTAAATAATTTATTAGATTTTTATTTGATTGATAAAATAAATATAAATAGATTAAAGTAATTAATAATTGATCATAATTAAATTGAAAATCGTTTCAGATCAATTGGAAGTAATTAGAATTGTAAGGGCTACTTGGTAATTGCTTAATACTTGAGCAAAGAAGAGGTTCTAGAAATCTCTTAGAGTAGACGGTTTTGGACACCTTTGAGGGCAACCGAAAATGCCCAATTCAAATGTATGGTTTATAGTGTGTCCTGACAGCTATATAAAGGGTCACAGGACTTAATTTTTTCAGCCACTACTTCCTAAGATACCCTAGCTGAAAATTTTCCTCCCCTCTCCTCTCTTGTGTTATAGTTTCTAGCTTTGGGTGTGTGCCATTAGAGGAATCATCCTATTGGTGCTAGCTTTCTAAAGATATAAAAAGGAAGGAATCAAAGGAAGTGTTTGTATATAACAGTTCAAAAGGGAAGTAACCGTAAATGATATCAGAGCTTCTGGTTGTTATACAACAAGTGGAGGATATCAAATACTCGATGGTAAGTTGGTGAGCTGGAAATCGAAAAGCTAGACATGTGTTTCAATCTCTATGGATGAAGCTGAATATGTTGTTGCTGCTGCATAGACTTCACATATAATATGGATCCAAAGTCAATTACGTAATTATGCAATTAACATGAAAAATATTCACAAAGTGCAATAAGAATTTGTCATAATCCTGTGCAGCATTTGAAGACTAAACATATAGCTCTTCGTTATCACTTCATCAAAGATCATGTGGAGGATGGAAATATTGAAGTACATTTCGCAAAAACAACTGATCAGTCGGTTGATATTTTCACGAAAGCTTTGGATGCAAAATCGTTTGTACGAATTTTGGAAAGACTGGGAATGATTAATGGAAATTCAATTCCATGCGAAAAAGACAAACATTTATTAGAAGAAAGAGACAAAGCAAAATCATTCATCATTCAGAGGTTACTGTTCATAGTCAACTCTTCGAACGCTTCGAATTCGTATGATTGGTATTTTTCTTAGCTTGGTAAAACTTCGAGTGTTTGCAACGAGTAGTTTTAATTTTTTTGTTCTTTATTTTTGAAAAATCAAAAATGTTGAAAAGATTTTCTTATTATTTTTTTCTTAATTTTTGAAAAATAAAAACAACAAAAAGATTTTGTTTCTTCTTTCTTTTAAAGTACTGTGTTGCAGACATTCATGAAGATACAAAGAGGATAAGGCTTATAGTTCTAGGGTTAGGTACATCTATCATTCTATTCTTTGAATTTCGAATAATTTTTTTGTACTAGTTAAGATGTCCCTAGAAGCATGCTGCAACATGTTGTCCGAAGCCTCGAAATGACTCAATGTTTGAAAGCCTTAATGAAAATTTCATACGAAGATTTCTTCCTAACTAGGCTTACATTCGCATTAGTCCAATGAGCTACCTTACTCTTCTCACATGAGTTAAGAGTTTACTGTTTGGTCCAAAATAACAGAGGTACATGTTCTTTTGTATACCAATCTTTTTCATCTCAAAATTCTTACACTATCACACATGAAGGCATATGTCCACGAGGTTTCTGATCAAACCAATCGAAACTTAGATATATCACATATCTGTGTTTATGATTAGACATCATGAGACCATGATGGAAGTGAAACCCAATTCAATTAACCTTTAAGGAATTGATGGGTAACTTAGTTCCAGATTTTACCGAAACATTTGTTTATGTACCTTCGTTCGAAACTCCAAATCATATTCATTTCTTATGAGTGGTCTTGATCAAACATTCGAAACCCACGATGTTTGTTACCTAACAGGATCCAGAATACGATTTTTTTAATATGATTTCAGTGTGAGTTTTATCCGAAATTTCATGTTACTTAAATGTTTTTCAAAGCAAATTTGTCACTGAGTACACTGGTCATACAAGTAATTTCTGTTACAATTACCCACCTTATGTTTAGGATGATATGTAACAAAATTCATTAAATCACCTCAAAAACCTTTTAAAAGAGGCCCTTCGATACTTATTTACAAGTATTCGATTGTAATTCATGGGAAAATACACAAACAGTTGATTATCTCTCTTGATAATTAACGAAGCAATCTTTGCCCAGGGTTTTAACTGCCTTCGTGTCAAATTGAATTTTTCAATTCACTGAATATCCAAAAAAATTTAAATTTCTTCTCACCTTTGTTCTTTCACACATGACACACACAAAATCCTTGAGGTTCTGAGTAACACCAACTCAGGCTGACGATTTCAAGAATCTGGAAAATGATTTTACTTTAAAACCATAAAGTAAAAGAGCCTTACCTTCATCCGAAGGGTTCCGACGGTTACTATTCTAACGGGGAAACAATCCAGCCTGTTTGAGGGGACTATTTGAATTATGTACCGGTTTTGAGGAGACGTGACAGTTACTTTATCACGCATGGTTACTTTTTCATCATCATGACACGGTTTTCTCGGTGACACGTCACATATCAATAAATTCTTATCCCGCTTTGATTTCAAAATTCAGAGTTACATATAAAAGGGGATTTAAAGGTTCGTTATCAGCTTACGCTTTCATATTACCAAATCTACTCTGATAAAAATCCAACTCTCAAACCTTAACAATGGCGACTGCAAATCTTGATGCAACTTTGTCTCACAGCACCGATGATGTAACCTCATTGCCAATAATGAAGATTCAGGGAACAAATTACCAAGTTGAAGCAAACGTCTCTCAATATCCTGAAGAACTGAAAATGCTCATTGTTGCTCTGAAAAGCTCTGTATTATCAAAAGCCATGTTCAACTCATTTTTTGTTCCTCTTTCATGGCTGTCTCAAGGTAGATCAATAGCTACTTACTCTAAAGCTTTGGATGCAGGTTTGTTTAATATAGTGACTGATAAGAAGGTTAGACTCTCAAAGAAGCTTTTCTACCAAATTCTCAATAAACTAGATTCTCCGCTATATGTTAATTTTACATTCCCACAAATTGTTCACATGTTCAATGAAATGGGTCATCAACCCCAGTTGGCAAAAATAAGCGATTTCAAGAAGTCAGGAATTCCGAGTGTTTAGAGTTTTTTGTTCGGCATTTTTCTCGGATGTTTAACTGGAATAAGTGTTAGGTTGGACAAGGGAGGGATGGAAGTTTATGCGATGGTCGCAGGCTTATACTAAGATCTTCAAGTTGATTACTCTACTCAATTATGGAAAGAGTATTGAGAACATGAATGCTCTTCATGTCATTTCGTTTGGTCGATATTGGAGTTTGATTCTGTAATATTTTTATGAGAAGGAAGGGATTTTGGTTCCAACAGATGAAGAAAAGGTTGTGTTCCATGTGTATAGTTGTCCGGAGGATGTAACTGATGATATTGATGAATTTCCAATTGTTGCTCGCATTCCTAATGCCATGCTGAAAAGAGTTGATCCTACCAACATAATTCTAATAACTTACTTACAAATCATCGATAGTTCTGTTGAAATTGGGGTTCTTTTCGCTAGTGAAGAAGAGACGAAGACTAAACGATCAAAGAACGTTGCTGCTAAATCTTCTGAGAAATTTGTCAAAGAATCTAAATCTAAAAAGAGTCCGAAGAATTTACCGATTACAGAAGCTGAGCCAATCAAACCCGAAGTTGTTGTTGCTGATACCCCATCCACTCAAAAGGAAATCATTCATTCGAATACTGGAGTTTTTCGAATAATCAAGATGAAATAAAAACATAAGAGTCGATCACCACTAACAAATGTTGTTCGCAAACCACAGGTTTCGCACCAAGGAGTTATCTTTCTTGAGATTCCTGCACCTGCTTCACCATCATCTAAGAATCGAAGGGCAACTGGTATGGCCAAACACATATCAAAGAAGAAGAAGAACAAGAAGAGTAGGGTGATCATCTCATCAGAGCCTACTGCTGATGAAAATGAAACAATTCCAAAAACACCAGAAGCTGATCTTCTGAAAGATTCTTCTCATCTTGCATCAGCTGATGTAATACCACCCGAAGCTTCGGTTGCCAAGACAATTTCTGTGGAGGCACTATCTTCTTAAATATTTGTAAACACATCTCATATGGATGGAAATGTCACAATGGGTGAGGATGCTTCGCATACAGGAGACAAAGGTAATCACACCTGTCATTCCTACTACATCCATAATTGATTCTCCTATCTTTGAAAACATCATATAAAAACCAATCAAATCTCTTTTTTCTTCACAATTCACTGATCCACCTACCACCACTTCACCAATTCAAGATTCTTCTTTCATGGAAACTGAACATGAGTTCGAAGGTTTTGGAGGGACATTTGAAAATCTAGAGTTTGATGAAGAAGAGACTGACTTCTCAGATCACATGCTCATGACAGTGAAACAGTTCAAGATATTGAATACAAAATTCAATTCAATTCTTCAGTCACAGGTTGATCTCGGGGGATGAAATTCAGTGACTAGTCTTGAAGTGGATGGTTTGTTAAATATGGTTGAAGGGAGGATTTCTTTGAAAGTTTTAGGAATGATAAAGGATTCTGAGTCTTGTTTCCTGGAGAAAATTGATCTGTGTGATCATAGTAATGAGATGAGGGTCAATGATCAGAAATCTACTTTTCAATGTGATATGAAGGAATTAATGTTGGTTGCAAAGGAGAGACATGTTTTATTTATTCAAGATGTGAAGAAAGTCAGAGAAGATGTGAATTATAAACTCCAAAAACTTATACAAGATATGGAGAAAGAGATTGCAAATGTTCGTACTGAATTTGCATCTCTCAATCAAAAGGTTGACATCATCTGTGATGCAGTTACCAAGTTTGCCAAGTTGTACGAAAGTTCGAGTCCTCAAATTTCTCAAATTTTTGCAACAAAGAACAAGAATTTCATGGAGATTTTCACTTTGTTAAAGGAGCTTAAAACCTTATCTTCTACACATGCTTCGTCTTCTCCGCTATTCTATGAAGATCTTATTCAGAAAATTTCTGAACTCAAAGCCTTATTTCTTCAACAGCTGGCTTCTCTTTCACAAATATCCAGCCTTCTTCCCACAATGGATGCCCCACCTGTTAGTACAGGGGTGCAAGGGGGAGAAAGGAAAACTGAAGGTTCAAAGGCTCGAGGTGAAGATGCGAAGGTGGTAGGAAAGTGTTGGGTTTTGAGAATTCTAACACATCCTAAGTGTACATGCAACCCTAATAACCTTGGATCTATGTTTGTCTAATTATCATGCAAAGTTGAATTCCAAGGCTATATTCCTATCTAGCATACATGGGGAACAATTTTAAGTTGAATGATAGATAGAATAACTTACCTTGTTGTTGCTTATGTTCCTTGAAACCTTATGAGCCTAGCACCCCAAGTGTAATGCCTCAAATGCTTCACACAACACCAAATGCTCTTGAAAGACTTTTGAGAGAATACACACTTCTTGAAATCCGCCTAGACCTCTTGTTTCCTTAGTGTTGCCGATTTTGGTGGAGAATGAGATCCTTATATAGTGTTGACACATCTAGGGTTACACCATGTAAACCCTAATGTGTCATGACTCTTCATTTCCATGACCCGTGGGTTTGTAACTCCCATGGAGCATCCATGGAGCATCCTATGCGTGGAACCCAACTTGATAATCCATGGAGCCTCTTAGCCCACTATACAAGATATGGATGATTTACATAATCAACCCATATATTTAATTAGTTATCTTTTGATCACTTAATTAATTCTAAATTAATTCTTGATCAAACTAATCAAATAATATTATTAATATATTAGAACTTACAATATATTAATAATCTCCAAGTGTTATTTCTCTCATTTAGTCTATCCAATTGCATGATGCCATGCAACCCAAATGGACCATGCCGGGTCGGGTCAAGTACATACCAGAAATAGTTATGGACTTAGACACCTTATCTAACAGTCTCCCACTTGGATAAGTCTGATAACTATTACTGCAAGTATCACTTCAGGAACCGATCGGCAATCGTAGCTCTTTTTTCAAGGTTTCTCGGAACTGAGAAGATGATGGTACGCCATTTAAGATAAGTGATCATATAATCCTTTGTTCTAGATATCAGTCGGACAAATACATGGAACAATGTATTACTTATTGTCCAACAGTTTGTTTCCCGATTTCCGATTTGTTTGACAAAGAACTTAATTGAACACATCAACTTAGTTCTGACCGGGCCCGGTACATAGGTCAAAACAAAATCATCGAGGGGCCCAGATATCAGCTTCTAATCCAAGAAGGAACCGATAAACTTCAACTCATATGTTTGTTCTACCACTTATTGAATTACACACAAGAGCACGATTTATAACATCGAGTTACCAATGCGTTTTCGTAAATCAATGCATAACCAACTTGTAAGTAATAAATCATATCTCTAGGTTTGAAGACTTATATGATATTACCCTCTCACGATCACTCGAGATAGAATTCCATGAAGTGATTCCAGTGATTGGGGGTTGAGTCCAATGCTCAGAGCTTATGAGCACTCATGATTGTTGTAGCCTTGTCTAACACCTTAGACCTCTGCAACCAATCATGACAGTCTTGATTCATACCTACTTCCAACATATGACCGACTGTGGAGGTTTGAATAATATGTTATACCAAACAAAATTATTTTGGAAGTCAAGACATGCAAAAGAAATATAGTAAACGATTGACAAGAGATAGCAACACTTTACTCATAAATAAAACACCTTTTATTCATCATCTAATGTCAATTACACTTTACAAATTTCGAGGTTATCTAACTACTAAATCTAATATCATCCTTCATCCCTATGCTCCGAGCATGCTGGAGATGCTTAACCCGAGTCAGTCCCTTCGTGAGGGGATCTGCTGGGTTCTCATCCGATGATACCCTCTTTGCCACGAGGAGTCCTTCTTCTTTTCGATGTCTAATAAAATGGTATTTTCTATCGATGTGTCTGGATCTCCCGTGATCCCTTGGTCCCTTGGCTAAGCCAACAGCGCTTTCACTATCACAGAAAATTTCCATTGGCTCTTTAATAGCTGGTACAACTCCAAGGTCTCCGATGAAGTTCTTTAGCCATATAGCCTTCTTTGCAGCCTCGCTCGCTGCAATATACTCTGATTCGCAAGTTGAATCAGCCACTGTCTCTTGCTTGGAACTCTTCCAAGAAATTGCTCCTCCATTTAGGGTAAAGACCCAGCCCGACTGAGAGCAGAAATTATCCCTATCAGTCTAGAAGCTAGCATCACTATACCCTGCCACTCTCAAGTCATCACTCCCACCGAGGGTAAGGACCCAGTCCTTAGTCCTTCATAGGTACTTGAGAATATTCTTTACAGCAGTCCAGTGTGCCTTGCCATGGTTCCCCTGAAACCTGCTAACCATGCTCAGGGCAAAGGCTACATCAGGTCGAGTATACGTCATAGGATACATGATCGATCCTACAGCCGAAGCATAAGGTATTCGACTCATTTCTGCTATCTCAGCCTCAGTGGTAGGGCTTTGTGTCTTACTCAATTTGGCATTACTCTGGATGGGTAACTCTCCTTTCTTGGAGTCCTACATGCTGAATCTCTTCAGCACCTTATCAAAGTAGGTACTCTGACTGAGTCCAATTAGTCTGTTACTCAGATATCTCAAGATCCTTATCCCTAAAATATAGGCAGCTTCACCAAGGTCCTTCATAGCGAAACACTTCCCAAGCCAGGACTTACTTCCTGCAGGGTTGGAATGTCGTTTCCTATGAGTAGTATGTCATCCACATACAATACCAAAAAGCTAACTATACTCCCACTAGCCTTAACATACACACAAGATTCATCTTCACTCCTAGAAAAGCCAAATTCCTTGACCTTTTCATCAAAGCAAAGATTCCATCTGCGAGGTGCTTGCTTTAATCCATAGATGGATTTCTCAAGCTTACACACTCTATTAGGGTACTCGCTGCTGACAAAACCTTCTGGCTGACTGATGTAAACATCTTCAGCCAAGTTTCCATTAAGGAAAGCAGTTTTGACATCGAATTGCCAAATTTCATAGTCATGAAATGCGGCTATGTCTAACATAACCCTAATAGACTTAAACTTCGCTACTGGAGAAAAGGTCTCATCATAATAGACCAGTCGAGCCTTATAAGTGTGTACATTACCATCCATGCCGGTCTTCTTCTGGAAGATCCATTTGCACCCTACTGTCTTACAACCTGGTACATTCTCAACCAAGTTCCAAACTTGATTGTCATACATGGATTGTATCTCGCTATTCATAGCCTCCTTCCACTTAGCAGACTCGGGGCCTACCATGGCTTCCTCGTAGCTGTTAGGGTCATCTTGACTTACTAGTGTCCCATCACTAATAAGTGTCTCACCTTCTGCAGTAATATGGAATCCATAGTAATGCTCAGGTGCACTCCTAACTCTCGTGGAACGCCTCAGAGGTACAGATTCGTCAATTGGCTCAACAGGAGTTTCCTCCTCAAGTTGAGGGCTAGGGTTTGAAGATCCTTCACCACTTGACTCTTGAATTTCTTCAAGATCAATTTGCCTCCCACTGTCTCCTTGGCTTATAAACTCTCTTTCTCGAAAGACTCCTCTTCTTGCTACAACGACAACATTATCACTAGGTCTGTAGAAGAGGTAACCAAAGGATTGTTGTGGGTAGCTGATGAAAATACACCTCTCGCTTCGAGGTTCGAGCTTATCATGTGTCTTGCATCTCACGAAAGCCTCGCAACCCCAAATATTGATGTGGTCTAGTTTGGGTACTTTACCAGTCCACATCTCGTGAGGAGTTTTAGCAACTTTCTTAGTAGGGACTAGATTAAGGATATGGGAGGCAGTCTCTAAGGCATACCACCAGAATGAGATTGGTAGCGAAGCTCGACTCATCATGGAATGAACCATTTCTAACAAGGTTCGATTATGCCTCTCAGCCACACCATTCAACTGCGGTGTCCTGGGAGGTGTCAATTGTGAGACAATCCCACATTTCCTTAGATAGTCGAGGAACTCTGAACTAAGATACTCACCACCTCGATCGGATCGAAGCATCTTAATGTTCCTGCCCAATTGA